AGTTATTAGTCGATAGATTGACTTGAATTAGTGAACTAATTTTGTTTGTATTTAATAGATTAAAAAATTAAAACAGTTTTATCCAAGAAAATCATGGCCACCAACAACATAAACGACAAAAAGATAACGTTTCAATATTTTGTATTCTTATAATAAAATTTGATCATATATAACTTTTATTTTGACAGTGTACGACACCATTTACTACCCATCATTTTATGTAATCGTCCAGCTTAACTTTCGGTTGCCTGGAAGATATTGTTTTTAGCGATAAAGCCTCCGATTGTACTATTGTTTGTTGTTATGTTGATTTTTCTTTTCAAGTACAACAAAGTATTTCATCCATTCATTGATCAATTTTGAATTTTCAATGCTATAAATTTTTTAAAGAAAAGTGATTAAAAGATTAACTACTTCAGACAAAATATGTTTAAAAATATAAAATATGTTAAAGAATAGTAAATTACTTAAAAAAATCATTCATATCAGATATCCCTTCTCGGGGAATCGGGGCCAGGGAATTTAATATGATGATAAAACCCTTCGTTCAGAGATATTGACTTTTCTATTTATACAAGCATAAATATAACAACTATAAATAACTTGATTCTATTTATGGGAGAGGGAGAAACATTTGAAATAAGATCTTGAACTTGGCAATGGATATTTCATTACTATAAATTGATTAATAGTAGCCGTTTACCGTTATCCGATAGTAGCTATTAGTATTGGTGGAACACGATACACTTAACAATGGTTATTTGTCAAAATATATGAGTCCTTAACACAACGTAAGTAACATAACATACTATTAAAAAATATTAACATCGACAAGCGACTAAAATTGTAATTGGATTCATATAAAATAACTAAATTAATATATTATTTAGATTCCAATCTAAGAAGCTAATGTTATGCTAAACTAATGTTATGGAAAATCAGATACAATAAAGTTACCACAACACCCGACCCCGGACAAATAGAAAATCTCATCAATTTCCAGATTGATCAGACTGGGAGCCGAAACCAGAGCAATGGTAATACCTTGAGAACGGTGTGCGCGCCGTTTGGACACGGACAATGTCACTATTAAATAAAAATAGCTTTTAAGGGAGAGCAGATTACTCGTAATCTTATTTCTTGAGTACGACTCCACCTTACCTAAATACATTTTCTTTACGTCGTTTCTCATTGCTCTGCCAGGGTACAAATAACTAGCTTTCGGCCAGCGGCTTCGCCCGCGTAGTCGTGTATTATACAAAATCTTCCACTTGAATAACTCTTTATATTGATGGAAACCGCATTAATAATCCGCATAACGTTCGATTGTAGCGTACAGGCAGCGGGAAGCTGTTGTCTTAGCGAAGAGAAGCTGAAAAATTTTAAATAGTTAAAATTACAGCTTACAATCGTCATTATAAACTCAAGGAATTGGGTACAGGAGGCCTCGTTCTTCCGTTATAATGATAATATATATTGTAGTAATTGCAGTTAAGTGTAAGTTCGTGTGTCTGCACATTACATTTTGTTCACAGTGTCACAATAATTTAGTAAAACAACATTATTTTACGAACAAAAACCATAAACAAACAAAAGACACTAAAATAGAAGGTTGACCTTTTTCGTATTTTTCTATACCATTCATAAAATAGGAGTTCAAACGGATCGCATGGATTAGCGCCAAAAATTCCATACAAACAAACATAATTAAAAAGTAATAAAATTCATTTCATATACTTAATAAAAGTATGAAAAAAAGGCAGCCATTGCTATATATTCTATCAATAGCAGTTGCCACTTCACCTGTTATACAGATCATAGTTTCACTCTGATTTTAGTCGTCGTCGGTACATTTACGTGCTGTATGAATGACGGTTTCTAGGGTTTCCTAACCAAGGTGTAAAAACGGGATAATTTTTATTAGGTATACAGATTTTTATACTATTTTTGTAATATTTACGAGTCATGTGATTAGACAAAGACTATTTATTTCAAACACAATGAGAAATAAAACCCAGGAAATATTAGTGGAGCTAATTTTAAAACGGGGTGTAATTCTGTCTGTCTGTTACGTTTGATAATATTTGGCACGGTGATTTCTCGAAGAGGAGACATTAAAATGTTTGATTCTAATTCATTACAAGCATTTGTGGCATGTGTAGTTGCGAAAAGCTGACAGGGATATATAAACTTGTTTCTTATATTTTCACGGAACGATAGTATTATATTAATTGGCAATACAATTTACAGAATAAAGATAATTCTATTGATAGACTAAAAGTTTTTTTTTGTCTCAAATCGGTAGGAGTGGAATGATGTCTGATTTACTTTTTTCTTTATAAACGTGGCGTAAATGTGAAATTATGGAATAGTGACTATATGTGCTAAGATCCCTTTGCCTTGAATAAAGTTACTACTGTAGTGAAAATTTTCTTGTTACTTCATTGACATTGGACGTCGAAGTGGTAATAATTATCCTAATACCTAATAAGCTTAATATGATATAGAGCAGAGGTTCCCAAACTCATTTTGTCTACTGCCCACTTTGAGAATAAATTATTTTTTAGCGTCCCCATTTTTTTACCTATTTAAAAACCACTTTAACTTCAAATGAAATTAATTAATTATATTAGCGGAGATTAAACATTAATTTTAAATGAGACTTTTACTATAACTTGCAAGACTTAACTCGAAACCTGAGCGCAGTAGGTAATACATAACGGCGCTCACCTGCTACACCTGTCAATGAAAATGATTGAAACGCAACTTTATAGTATTCAAACAGAGTATCTTTTATTCAAAATAAAACAAAGATAATTGATTTTTATATAAAAACCTGATGCTTTTTAATAAGTTTGTTGATATCAGGTTCCAATTTAGATACTTAAAAACACACGCAAGTCGCCACGTTCGGTAACATGCACACGATTTCGATTGGTTTTTGTAGTCAAAATTCTTGGTAACCATTTTTAAACTTGATTTTATTTCCTCGTTTGTTGTCAAATCTATAAGTTCTTCTTCCAGCTGAGGTGACATTGCTATGTTGATATTTGAAAACGGATCCAACACCCAATATGGAGGTTTTCCAAATGTTGGCAGTAGGTAAATAAATCGTCGTGACTGCAGGATTTTAATAAATTCGTAAAATTGAAAAACTCACGCCTGCCCATATTCTTCTTGTGTAGAAGCAGTTTGGCTGCGAAAGCAGAAACGACGTTATTTGTTTAATTAAATTTAGTTCATCGCCTTTCAGTTGGTTATTCATGTCTTAGAACAATTTATACAGGTCTGTCATGTAAGCTATCGTTCTTTGATATAATAAGTTTGATGTGCAATTTTTTATCTATAGTTTCCAAGAACTAAAAATAAATATTACGTTTTTTTATATAGGATTGCATAAGCAGCATACACTGACAGGAATAAAACAAACATGCATTAACTCGATTATATAGCGTAGAATGAGACAATCGAGTATGTCTGTTGCCTTTTTATTTGTTTGTTTGTGTCTACTTTCATTTTGAAATAGAGCAACCGATTGACATGATTTTGATTTTATATATTCAATAAGACAGGATAGAAATATGACCTACGCGGAGAGAATTATTGAACCGAATTTGAGCAATCTCTTAACTAATATTAATTAATGTTCACAAGTTGTAGTTGAAAGTCAAGAGCTCATGCAGTCGCTGTCTAAGAGGCCTCTTAGCTAAATGAAATTACAAATCACCCACCCGTCAAGCCTCTATACAACGCCCCCATTTTTTTCTCGGTCTCTTACCGCCTCCCTTTAAGCCAGCAGCGTCCACAAGGGGGCGTAATCGCCCGCTTTGAGAAAGGCTGACATAAAGTAAAAAGAAAATATCTATAAAATTAAAGGTACAGCTCAGAGAGAATAAGAATGTATACCTATATTTTCACTATCGTAACTATTCGTTTCTATTTATAACACAGTGCACTAGGTTCTGAGTATTATGTTGTCGTAAGAGATTAAGACTTATGATAGTTCGCATTAGATTTTGACAATTTGAATACGGTGTAATCTACTGTAAACTCTCAGTTCTATTATGTATATTTCTATAATGTTAGTTATGTCACAAGGCCAAAGAACCGCAAACGACTCCGCCGACGCCCGACGATACAGTCACAGTTGGAATCTCAACTATCAGAGTTAATATGATAACGTCATCCAACAGGATAAGAATAATGTCTTTGATATCTCAAATCGCGCAGACGAAATTCTTTCCGTTTGTTCCGAATTTACGAAAAGTCTTACTTTGATTTCTTACTCTCTAAGCAATCTCTAAGTGAATAGATTGGTTAACGAGATAATCATTGTCGCTGAATTAAGTTTGAAAAAAATATATACTGCATTATTCAAACATATTTTGGGCATAATAGTAGAAGCATATACCGATTTTAATGAATTTAGCTCATATTTAATTGAATGTGTCTGCGACATTATCATTTGCTTGCCCTTTTTCAAATTTATTTGCGGTCGGCACTCTCTTCTATCAATCGTCTTCTCAACATTTACTCCTCTCTTACACAGTCTCTCTATCTTTCCTTCTGTATTCCTAAATAGGTTTGTACATACTCGCTAAAATAGTTTTAAGTTTAAATAGCAATTTTGATGGCAAATAGAAAAATTGCGACATATTAATCTTCGTATACGAATATTTTCACATGTTCAGTTGTCTGTACAATAAAATTTATCAGTATTTTCTAGTCTCATTTAATAAGTACTGTGGAATAGGGACGACGAATTGTTCAGACTTTAAAGTTTATTTCCAAGGAAAAATACAGACGTTATGCTGGAGCAATAAAAAAAAAACTCAATCACCAAAAAGGAGAATGTGAATTCGAACTAAAAAACTAATTATTCAAATAATGGCGGCATTTACCAAAATCGTTCTAAGAGTAAATCCATAGTAATGTGCACGGACGCAATAGTACCTACTAAAAGATGAGTTTTTATAAAGCGAAGCGTTTTTGTCTATGGCATGGAATGGTTCAGCGACAGCAGCCGGCGCCAGGGAGTCTGGTGCATGGGGCGGCGCCCGCCGTTTCCCGGAGCGACGCCAGTCGATCGCGAACCGCACACCGCTCACACTATGATGTATCGTCACCACATCATAGCGTTCTACCTCTTCTACACTTTACAAATAGTATGTGCAAAAATAAACGGTGGCCCTAGAGGGCGTTTTGTCAACAATACTCAGATAGCACCCACGAATTATCACGTGAACGCGCATCATACACATTATTCTTATCATCCCCCGAATCACATCGCGTTTATTTGCAGATATTGTACGCATCCAGCGTTCTATCCTGTTTACAACAGTGCGCTACCTACTTACGTTTACAAATTTCGAGAATCGAATGATCGATATTCAGTTTTGCTAACGGGACTGTCCTTGTACAATTTGGGAAGGTGTTGTGGACAAACGAACTCAAACAATTACACTCCGCGCGCCGAAGAACAGTGTTCTATTCAAATTATCGACAGAAGACACTTCGAGGAGGCGAGATTTCCATGCTTTATTATGTCGTCCTTCATGGAGCACAACCAGTCAAAGTTTCACGATGCACTTTCGTTGAAAAGTAATGCTACTTTAAACGATACTCGAACTACTGAGGCGCCTATAACGTTTGACATTGTGTCAGCCAACGTGGACGTTAAGCCATTCATAAGTAAAAATATGACTGAGCTAGTTGTTAGCCGTGATCAGGACTGTGTGATATGGCACAATATGACGATGACGAAAGAGAGACATACCTTGTCTTGTTCCTTATTGAAGGAATACGCTGAAACCATGAGACCTGCCGGAGTTCCTGTGTATATATGGATGCCATCGCTTTTGGCGGTAATCGTTGGAATCTACATTTTCAGCTATTGCTGTTGTAGAAAACAAAAGGACAAGAAAGAAGGTGTACCTCTGAATCCAAATAGTGTATACAGATACTGCTCAAATTAATGGTGTTCAAATAATAACCATACAATTTACTAAATTCTTTTAGCTATAATTGTGAGTTAGGTTTACTTTGACAATAAATTACCAGTAGTTTCACTAACATGTACCTCTTAAGAGGGCTTATAAAGGAAATCGTTCATAAAGTTTTAACCGTGAACAATACAAAAACAAATAAAATAAGGAAGGTGTAACATAAATTGTGAAGTTATAGGGTTTTCGTTGCCAAAAGTACTTTTAATAGATAAATGAAAATGTGGGTTAAGTGTATAAAATAACCTTATTTGAGTACGAGTTTTTGAATAAAAAATAAATAAAATTTATACGTGCCTGTGTCCGTCGTTCTCTTATTGACTGGTCCCACGATATCATCACATTTTATTTCAGCTTTATGTGCACTTTTAGGCATACATTATAATTATAAACACAAAACTAAGACCTATTTTCCTTACGATGTTATTTTAAATTTCTCAAGATTGTTTACGATGCCATATGAAGTATGCAGTTTAATCGTTTTTCGGAATCTTATAGTGTTATATAATACCTTTAATTTTGGAATACCGAAAAAAGTTTGTTTTATTGTTTGTAAGTGTTTTGCAATTATAGGAATACTTATTTGAACCAAAGAATAAGTCGTTATTATAAGGAAACATTTTTAATTTTTACTTATTTGGAGACGCCAGTTCAACAATTGCGCGTTGAAAACATTTTTGTTTATTGGAAAATTGAAATAGTATTAAGAATAGAAATATAAGTAAGAGGATACCTACGTCATTTCTCTAATGAAAATTGTTTTCATGTAAAAAACAATTTTCAATAACTATCCAGACACTGATTCAACGTAGGTATAATAATGAGGTACATAGATAAGATAAGATTTTATTTATTAAAAAAGGTAGACACGGCTGTTTGTTGTGAGCGCTAATATACTTTTTGTATTATAAAGTTAAGGGCATATAGAATAAATTTGCTTGTTGAAAAAATGTAATCAATTTCCGATGTGTAATTGCGATACTGAGTTATTATTAAGCGCATTTTAAATAGCAATAAGTATTAACTCGTTTACACTAAGGTAGAATTTTATATATCGTAGTCTTTAATTCGCATCTTTAACCTTTAGAATTAGAAATTACTAGTTCCATTATTATAATTTTTGGGATCCACGCGATACGTACGTATATTTTCCACAGCTCTCGATGAGTCCTCACCCCAAAATTTCATAATCATCATCATCAGTCGGACGTGATGATGATGGTTAAGGAGGACGGGCCATGAACCTTCACGCTGGCCCAATGACGATTGGAGGGTATTAACGACTGTAAATGCCGCCGAGACCAACGGTTTAACGTGCCTTCCGAATCACGGAGTAGCTCGAGATAGTAATTTTTTGGTCACCCATCCCGTGACCAACCCTTGGAAAAGTTGCTTTACTACAACAATCGTGGGCTTCTCCCAAAATTTACTCCTTTCTTATACTCCCGTCCACAGTCATGATCATAATCCTTTTGTCACATACAAATCAACTTCTTTCATCATTATTATGTGCAGATTGTTAGCTTTTTGAGAATTTATCGCAAAATGTACTACCTTATTATTTGTTTTATATAAGTACTTAGAATGTAAACCTCATAAGATTAATAAAAGAAAATCACGATGTTAATATTGACTTGTTTTCCTTAGCCGAGTGGTTTCCACGCCTGTTTTAAGGTCGCCATCTCTGAGGTCAAGGGCTCAATTCCCGGTCGGGTCAATGTAGTCAATGTAGAAAATTATCTTTTCTTTATTCTCTCGGGTTTGGGTGTTTTGGTACCAACACTGTCTTAGATATTACATAATCTCAGCTTCTGCTTATTATCTTGGAATCTAAGAAATGTGACATATATTTATATTTAAGCACAAGAAAATCTCATTTCGACGTTGGAAAGCAAAGTGATATTGAGAGTAGAAAGTCTTTATAATTTTCCCAAAAAAAAAACTTACTTCCCTATAAATCGACTTAGGAACACCTCATTTATTACCATGGGCGTTTATAAGAAAATTTTAGAAAAAAAAAAAGTTTTCCGCTCTGAAGAACAATTTTGGTTTTGGGTTACTACGTGTTGACGTTCCAGCGTCGATTTGTGAGTTCTTAAAATTGCGGATTAAATAGTTAATTTTGTTAAAACAAAATATTAAAAATAATATCGTCGTTAATCATTGTTTACTACTAGTGCAGTAAAGTCTGAACTTTCTCTATGGATGAAGTCAAATAGGGAGAATGGGCCATAACAGACCACGCGGGTCCAATATAGATTGGTGGATATTTTAATGGCTACAGATGCAGCCGAGATCAACGGCTTTACGTGCCTTCGAGGCACGGAGGAGCTAGAGATATTTTGTGCCCATGTGTGACCAGCCCTAGTGAAAATTGCCCCATTGCAGACCGAACGAGCTAACCACAGCCCAGCCTATCAGGTTCATCTCTACTAATGTATGATGACATTATGTCAAATATGATTTAATGTTCAACCTTACACAATCGAACCAGAGTAGATACAAATAGCACTTAAATGCTATTTCTTGTTCTCCGTTACGATTTCATGTTGGAAAGTTAGGGTAAAAAGTCCCTATCATGGGAGTAGAAAAAAATTTTTGAGGTCAGGGCTGTCAGGAAATGTTTATATAAGTGTAATAATGTTTGTGCTGGAACTTAACGAACCAAATGAGTATCTTTAAGAAGAGCAACCTGAAAAATATGATAAAACCCAACTTTCTAGGAGGGGTAAATTATTTAGTAAAGAAGACTTTATTTTTTTTAAATAACATCTTGGTGTTAGTTAAAATTACATATGATTTTGTATTTTCATAAATCAGATATAATACTAAAAATGGGCATACGCGTCTTTAAAATTTAAATAAGTAGCATAAATAATTTAAAAAAGCAATATTGCTTGGATTTCAAGTTATTGTGCATAAAAAAAGTCGCACAAGAACGAGTGCGGTTACCGATTGTCGGTTACATGCATATTTTAAGGCTAACAATCAAATGCCTAATTGCATAAACACCTATTAAATTTGTCATGAGTTTAAAGGCACATTACCGACGTAAATTTGTAAATTTAGAACATTAATTAGAGTTTAAAGTCGGCATTATTGGACGTTTGTGCAAATGGGTGATATACTTCTTTGAAGCTTTTCTGTAATATCTAGGTAGTTGATGACTTACTTTATATGTATTCTCGAATATGTATCCTTAGTTATATTAGCGATCGCGATTCCTTCCATTTATTTATATCCTGTATTATACATGTATAATTTCCTATTGAATAACTTTGTATATTCATGAAAATCATCTAAAAAGATTTCATTTAACAGACAGCGAGAAGCGACTTCGTTTTATATTATGTATAGATGTAGTAAATTACATCTTTATTTACCATTTTATAACCATTCTATGTTGTTTACAACTAATCCATCGTAAGAATATTATTGTGTTAATTAATGGAAACCATAGTTAATGAAAAGGCAATACCAACCCACGTCAGATTCATGTTATTTTTGATTTAGGTTTTGATGGATTGGTTATTCCGTAATAAGTGAAAGATTTCATGTGCCATGTAAATGTAACAGACCAACGTTTAAGAAGTACCTGCTCTTGTAATTATCATTCTGGAAGTGTCCTGTAATTCGAATCCCAGGCCAAATGCTATCCATTTAAATATGAAATAACAACAGAATTTACCTTCGTGAATTATATTTGAACTCCAATGATATTGCCTCAATAAAAGTGACGCGATAACAGGACAATCACCTATGATACGAGGGTGGATTGAAAAGTTCGCGGCCTCAGCAAGAAAACAATATAAAATATAAGCAAAGGTAATTTTATTTTTCCACGTAATCTCCGCTTAACTCTTTGAACTTCTTCCATCTGGTTTCCAACGCCTGTATGCCGGTCATAAAAAAAGTTTCTTCAAGGCCTTCAAAAAAGTCACCCACCGCAGCTTCGACCTCCTCATGTGATGAAAATTTTTGACCTCCAAGGTGTTTTTTTAGGTTTGGGAATAAATGAAAATCTGAAGGTGCCAAATCAGGGGAATAGACGGGATGGGGCAGTAATTTAAAGCCACAATCACGAATTTGAGCCATAGATTCAACAGACGTGTGAACGCGTGCATTATTCTGATGGAACAACACTTTCTTGTTGAGTAATCCTGGCCTTTTCTCTTTGATTGTTTCACGCAAGCGACGTAAGACGGTGCAGTAATAAGCCGAGTTTATAGTTTCACCTTTTGCAAGGTAGTCCACCATGATGACACCCTTAGCATCCCAAAAAACTAACGCCATCACTTTGTCAGCTGACAAAATTGTTTTGGCTTGTTTTGGACTCGGTTCATCATTTTTTTTCCATTGCATGGATTGTTGTTTTGACTCTGGGGTGTAGTGGTTTACCTAAGTTTCATCCATTGTTACAAATCCGGATAAAGCATCAACCTCAAACATTTCCAAACAGTCGCGAGAAATCGTGAGGCGTATTCGTTTTTGTTCGACTGAAAGCAATCTGGGCACTCACCGCGCAGAAACCTTAGAAAATCCAAGTTCATAGACTATATTATTTTGTGTTCATTTATACGAAATGCCAATAATATCTGCAATATCCCTGATGGTCAATCTCCGATTTATCAATATCAGATCACAGATTTTCCCGATGTTTTCTTCAGTCGTAGATGTCATGGGCAGGCCAGAGCTAAGGGCATCTTCAATACTCTCTCGTTCGCGTTTAAATTAACCAACCCTCTTTTTCACAGTCTTATACGACGAAGCAGATTCCCCCAATGTTGTTGACATATCTTCGTGAATCTCTTTTGGAGTTAGTTTTTTTTAAACAGAATACAGGAACAGGTATTTGATGACGGCACGTTGCTCAATTTTCTCCATTCTTTAAAAATGCTGCACAAAGGCTCACAAAATTCAGTCTAATTTAAATACAGTTAATGCTATTGCCATAGAATTATGCAATTTGACAA